CGATGTCCTGTTCACGCCCGACGTCGCCAACTGGGCCGAATTGATCCCGGGCTACATGCATGTGCGCATCCAGTCGGACCTGCTGGTCAGCGAGAAGGCGCAACCGGGCAACGACGTCGTGGAACGCCGGACGCCTTATTATGTCTATCTGAAGCCGCAGGGCGCCAACGACGAGGACATCAAGGCGCGCAGCAAGTCGACCCGCACACCGCCGATCTTCATTCCGATGCCGCCGCATTGAGCGGGCTGCCGCCTTTGTCATCCTGGGCGAAGCAAGGGATCTCACGTCCGCCCGGGAGTCCGCTGGCCGTTCCGTCAGGTCCTTCGCTTCGCTCAGGACGACAATGAGGCTCGGCTTCGCCTCTTAAAACTCTGTCATCCTGAGCGCAGCGAAGGATCTTACGCTCGTAAAAGAGTCCGCGGGTCGCTCAGCAAGGTCCTTGGCTTCGCTCGGGACGACAGAGTTAACGCTTCCGGCTGGCCTTCTCGGCGATGCCGGACAGGCCTTCGCGGCGGGCGAGTTCGTCCCAGATCGACTTGGGCTTCACGCCGACCGCCGCCCAGAGGGTGAGCAGGTGGTAGAGCATGTCGGCGCTTTCGGCGATCAGCTTGGGCTTGTCGCCGCGAATGCCTTCGATCAGCGCCTCGACCGCTTCCTCGCCCAGCTTCTTGGCAATCTGCTGGCGGCCGCGGCTGAACAGGCGTGCCGTATAGGATGTCTCCGGATCGGCGCCCTTGCGGCTGTCGATCACGAGATACAGACGATCGAGCACGTGCTCGTCGATCGTCACGATGTTCGGCCGTTGCGCCTTCTTGGCCTTTTTCTTCTTCGCCATTCGCGGGAAACTCCGCCGCCCGGGGGGACGGGCGATCGAAAATCTGACTGCGCCTCTTCGACGGGCGCCACGGCAACTTTACGCCAAAATCATGCCGCGCGCGAGATTTGTCGTACCGGCACGCCGGCGCGCGCGAGATGTTCCTTCGCCTGCGCGATGGTGAACTCGCCGAAGTGGAA